ACTCCTAGTATCTCTGCAAGCCTGTAAAAGTATTGAGAGTTCTCAAAGACGACTCGAGCACAAGAAGTGTCGCTTGTGCGAAGAAGCCAAAATCTGGACAAGAACTATTTTGAAAAAACTAACTCCCAAACCTGTTCCAAACGCAACCAAGACACTCTAATAACCAAACTCAATGAGGAATAAGGAGAATAAGACATGAACAACTTTATAAGACAAAGAAACCTGGATCTAGAATATCAACGGGTCGGGTCTAAACTAGAATCGCTATATAAGTATATTTTGAAGTATGAAATTGTCACATTACCTATATGTATATACGTGAAACATTCATGATCATAGCTATCTATATGTTGCTATTGTTTAGGATTATTGGGATTCCTGCTAGACCTTTGTGTTCATCCCACGTTGCTAATTATTTTTTAGGTATGGAGTGAAGAGTTGCTCGAGACTTGAAGTATGTTAATTGTTGGCCAAGGGGCCTTTTAAATGCAAGCGAAATGCCAATATATTGTAAAAAGGGTTAATCCCTATTATATATTTCATTATTTTGTAATTGATGACGTAACGCCTACGGGCGTGTATTGTATTTCATTACAAGTACATGAGAGAGGGCAATGTAATTTATTCCTTCCTAAATGCCTTTGATGTTTATTGTTATTGAAATTAACTGATTTAAAGGGAAAAGGTAACATTATTTGAGTAATAAAAATTGGGGCGTTACAACTTGGTATCAGAGCGAGTCGGGTTTGAATACTATTGGGCTCGTGGGAAGTGGTTTTTACCGCAATAGGTTTTGGTTATGCTTGGTGAAGACTTTTACATGTAGAAAGATTAAGTGTTAGGACTTTATATGATGCATTTATGGGAGCATGGAGTTAAGTCTCTTGGATAGTGCTTATAGTTGGTTAACTTGCTTTGAGGTCTTATTAGAAACAAGCTTGATCAATGTGGTTTCTGGTGGAAAATCTCTGAGAGTTCTGGAACAAGTAACTATCTATGTGGACTTGGCTCGATTATGTGATTGAGTGTTTAACTTATTTATATGTTTATAGCTTACGTGCTAAGTGTGTCTTGTAGCTTAACGGTGGTGAGTGAGCGCCTCAAAGAAGGCTATAGTTGTTCACTAATTGGGTTTTACCATTGATAGGATGTCTAGACAGGGAAATAGAAGACACGTTGGGAGTAGGAGTGCCGGTAGAGGTACAACAATTCCAATAGTAACTACACCAGCAACATCGATTGTAGGCGAGGAGTTCGCACACAAGATTGTAAGGATAGTAAGGGAGGCCCTAACTCGTAATGAGAGAGACGATAATCGTACCCTCAACCTTACTAACAAGTTTTTTCATTTTACCCACCCGAGTTTATAGGAGGGCCTGAGCCATGGAACGCAAACGATTGATTGGAGCAGATCACCAAGACTTTTGATATGCTTAGAGTCGAAGATGACGGGTTGATGATTAAACTAGCGAGTTTCCAATTGAGAGGAGACGTCGAGTATTGGTGGAAGTATGTTAAGACCACTATAACCACCACCTGGATTGCTTTCACCAAGGCTTTTTTGGCCAAATATTTTCCTCCCTCTGCACGGGAAAGATTGGGGACACAATTTGTTAAATTACGCCAAGGCAAATGTGACGCCCCAAAATTTGAGGACATCACAATAAAGTTTAAAACTTCGAATCCATTTTCTTAATTAAGAACTTCTAATCATTGTTGCCACCAAGTTTTCTATCATCCATTAATTAACAAAACATAAATTAAAAGTTCTTATATTACAACTCCAATCAAACTTAAAGCTTAGTCTTAGTACATTCATGAAAGAAAAACACAAATATAAAAATAAAAAATAAAAATTAAAATTAAACACTAGAGAAAAATTACATAACTCAGAAAAAAAGGTTTGTGGGACATGGGCACACTGCAAGCTAACACAGGCTGAACATCGCCTTCCAAGACCTCAGTGTTTCCTTTAATTTCTTCGGTACCTAGCATAAAACGCCAAGGCAATGGGAATGCCAATGAGTGACAAGCTCAATAAGATACTACAACCCAAAAAGAACCACCCCGATAATAATACTCACAAATAATGAATACTGTGGAGTAACAGAGTAACCAACAACGTTTAATAAGCATAACAGGAATGCAATCAGTTGAAATAATAACAACAGATAATAAGAACAATGGCAAGCGGAAGCAGTAATTCATCATAAGGAAAATGCCAACTTTTCTTTTAAATTCTCATAGGTTTAGTTTATCAAGTAAGTCTAAGTGACTCTCCACGGAGCATTATTTCCACTCAACCGCTAAGCAATGGCCACGGGCAATTCTGACTCCCCCTTGGTCAAATATTCAAATGTTACTTGCTATAACTACCAATGATGCCCACACACTAGGGTTATGTCCTTGAGTCGTGACATTACGGTCTGCCCTATGAGAACAGTCTATGTTGTGACACCCGCACCACCAACCTTATATCGCCTATACCGATAATACCATCTCGTGCCATGTTAGGGTTCGTAACTCACTTGCGCAAGACTCTAAACTGGGCTCACCCCATCACTTTAAACTTTAATGCATTGGTTCAATTTCGTATTCCTTTTCTTCGTTGAATTCACATTTTGATGCATGTGCGAGTTTTAGTTTGAAAACCACAGTGACATAAGGTTTATATAGCACAACACAACCACATATGGAAACTAAAACAAGTATTATAGAATTTCTTACGAGTCATCACAAAATTTCTTAGAATTTCCCATACTTCTTATTTTCAACATTGAATAGTCGAACTAAAAATAATAAAACCCATACCAAACGAGGTTCAATTATTACAATATTTTAACTGGTCCTAGTTCATTGAGTTAGGAAAATATTTTGAGAATAATACCAGGGCTAAAAATGATTTTAAAATGGAGAGATAAAATTTGGAAGAAAACTGGTGTCTGGGACAGTGAGCCACAGCGATTTCCAACACAAGTGGTCTGTGTTTGAAAAATAAAAAGGGGCATCAAAAAATGTCAAGAAGGTATGGTTAGAATGGCTTGCTAGATATTTGAGTTTAGAACATATTTACAGAAGTGCTTGAAGACTGAAAACCAATGGAAGATGGTCAAATAATTTTGCTAAGAAAATTGGACAGATTCTAATGCATTTTAGTAAAACTGCAATTTCTCCTCTTAGACTTGTCCATTTTTTGTGAAATCAGCAGAAAATGAAAGGTAACACTTATATCGAACTATCCCAGTGGTCGTGCAGAAAAATACCATTTGCAGAGAAAATGGGACCTGTTTAAAATCATTGTTTGTACTATGTTGTAAGCAACACTTAGGACAAACATTTACTTTGGCAAGAAAATGGTATCCAAATGATTTTATAAAAATTCAGCACATGTATAGAACACCTATATATACTCTCAGTACAAACAGATTTTAAACATAAGTTATTTTCAATTTATTAGAGCATTTTTCATCTGATATAATCTGAAACAGTGAAAAAAATATAAGTTTCAAGTAAAAGTAAACCAACCCTATCTCATTTTACCCTCATGCACGATTATTTCAAACAATGGAGAATATTTGAACACATAAGAAGATAAATTAGTAGCTAAACCATCTAATCTATGCTTGTAAGAAGGAATAGAAATCATATAATCATGAAATTCCTATTCTATCAAAATGTAAACATGCATTGAGCTATTCTTTGCTATGTATGTATTAACAATGCATACTCTTGCATATATTTAATATATAAATTCAGTTAAGAATATCTAAGGGAGGATAGAGGTAAAGTATTCTTCCTCAAGAGCTTTATAAACTATCTTCATGATTAGTTTCAAAATAATGACCACCAAGCACCCTCTTCTCTCTCCCTCTTTTCTTTCTTTTCTCTTCTTTTCCTTTCTCTTGTTCAGCCTTGTGTGTAGCAATAGAATGGATGAAATAGTGCTATATTTGTAGGAGTTTGGAGGCAGATTTATTTATTTATTTATATATTTATTTTCTTCTTCTTGACTTGGGAAACATTACCTACAAGGTATAGGCCTTGAGTGTGTTTGTATGCATGCCTTAGCATGCCTCGTTGGAAAGGAAAGGTGGCCGAATCCTCTACCTAAAAAATATGATTTTGTGTGTGTGTGCATACAAAATAAAATCAATGTATATATATAACCTATTCACTAGATGTTTTGCTCCCTATTATTCTCTGACTAACTTAGTTATTATCTGTTTAACTCATTTAGTTTCCACAATTGTATTTAGATACAGAAATTTAGTGGTTGTTTGGGATGTGCTATATGAGTGCACATTTTGACTTTTTAGCTAAAAAAGTTCGGAAAAAAAATATGTATGTTTTGGATAGTTTTTTTACTTTTTCCAAAAAATGTGTTATGAAATATTGTAACAAATAGCAAAATTACGTTTCTACCCATGTGTGGACATGTTGACATAGTTGTAGTGCCTGGGCAATATTTGCATTTCAAATAAATTTTTTTTTTTTTTTTTTGTATATACTTCTGCAACTTTCTACGTGGCTCACCATGTGCCACGTCAATGCAGCCAGGCTGATGGAATAGTGATGTGAGGATGAGGAGAAGTGTTTAGAGGAGGAATGAGGTGAGAGCTATGTGATGTGTTCACTTTAATAATTGTTATCTGACAAAAAGGTCCAAAAGCAAGGACAAAAGTGTCTTTTTTGTAGTCTGAATTTTCTCCCCCTCTCCCCTTCTCGCCCAAACAGGAAATAAGTATGGACTTTTTGGCTTTTTAGTGACTTAATCATGATGCTAACAAATTAACGTTGGAGTTTAATCACAAAAAGATAAAGAAATTTATTTAAACGAGTTCAATATTGGTATTAATCATGATGCTATTAACATTATAATTTAATAATCACTATTAATTGACTTAATATTATTATTAACAAATTAATTAGTTGTTTAAAAATTTAGGTTCTTACAACCTATTCCCTTTAAATAATTTCGTCCCCAAAATTTTAACACGTACCTTTATCTTCAAACAAATAAGGGTAGTTGCCTCATATTGCATCCTCTCTTTCCCAAGTAGACTACTCCACTCCTTGATGCTGCCATAACACTTGCACCAAGTGGATAACTTTGCCTCCAAGTCCTTTTCTCGTCGATCCATAATCTTTATAGGCCTTTTCTCAAAGTTTGCATCTTCATTGAGATCAATATCTCCCCAGTTGATAACATGGGAAGGGTGTGGCTCATACTTTCGTAACATTGAGATGTGAAAAACATTGTACACTGCTGCAAGCTGTGGTGGTAGTGCTAAACGGTATGTCACCTTTCTCACCTTGCTCAGAATTTCAAAGGGTCCCACATAACAAGGTGCAAGTTTTCCTTTATTTCCAAATCGTGTAGTACCTCGACGAGGTCAAACTTTGAGAAAAACATAATCTCCTACCTCAAATATTAAAGATCGTCTCATTTGATCCTCATAGCTCTTTTGTCGACTTTGGGCTGTGATTAGTCGTTGTCTGATCAGTTTTATCTTATTAGTGGTCTCTTGAACCAAGTTTGGTCCTAACAAGGTTGCTTTCCTTCCCTACTTCAGTCCAACAGATTGGTGATCAACAAGGTCGCCCATAAAGTGCTTCATACGGTGCCATTCCAATACTGGCCAAGAAACTATTGTTGTAATTGAACTCAACAAGAGGTAGGTGTTTCTCCCAACTTCCCTTAAAATTCATAACGCAAGCTCGAAACATATCCTCCAAGTTTTCTATCGTCTTTTCAGACTGCCTATCTGTTTGTGGGTGAAATGTCGTGCTAAAGCATAGGTTTATTCCCATTGCCTTCTATAAGCTCTGCCAAAATTAAGAAGTGAATGAAAGATCACGATCAAACACAATGCTAACTGGTATTCCATGTAATCTGATCACTTTTTTGATGAACAATTTGCTAGGTGAATCTAACGTATCTGATGGCCTGAGAGGTAAGAATGAGGCTATCTTAGTTAGTTGATCTACCACTACCCACACGCCTTCATCTCCCTGTGGTCATCGAGGCAAACCAGTCACAAAATCCATGGTTATGTGTTCCCATTTCCACTCCAGGATTGGTAAGGGTTGAAGTGTTTTTACCGGTCTTTTGTGTTCAGCCTTTACTTGTTGACATGTCAGGCACTGAGATGCAAATTTTGGTACATCCCTTTTCATTCCGCCCTACCAATATTGGTGTTTGAAGTCTTGGTACATCTTAATACCTCCTGGATATATTGCGAATACTGAATGGTGGAATTCCTTAAGTACATTTTCTCTTAGTGAGTCGTCGCTTAGCACAAACATTTGACCTTGATATTTCAAACTTCCATCTGTGTGAATTTCCCAACCAAGCATGGTTTCACTAGATTCCATTCGTGCCTTGATGAATGTTACCTCCTGATCGTACTTTTGTGATTCTAATATCTTGCTCAGAATTTTAAGCGTAGCAATTCGAGCACCAAGGTAAGCCTTTTCATCTTGAACCTCCATTTGTACCCCAAATTCATTGATAGTTCCAACCATATTTCATTCTCTAAGTGCTAAACTAGCAACAATCCCTCTATTATTGTGACTTAGAGCATCTGCCACCACGTTAGCTTTGCCGGGATGATAGGAAAGGGTAAAATGATAATCCTCAAGATACTCCATCTAGCTTCTTTGACACATGTTTAGGTCTTTTTGGGTGAACAGGTACTTTAAGCTCTTGTGATCAATGAATATCTCAAACTTTTCACCATACAGTTAGTGTCTCCAAATTTTGAGTGCGTGAACTATGGCTGCTAACTCGAAGTCATTAGTAGGATAATTCTTCTCATGGTTCTTTAATTTCCTTGATCCATATGCCACCACCTTGTCATTTTGCATTAATATGCACCCTAGATCTTCTTTGAAAGCATCACAATACACATTGTACCCAACGTCACGTTCTGGTATAATGAGAATAGGGGCACTCATCAATCTTTTCTTAAATCCTTGGAATGAATTTTCACAAGACTCGTTCCATTCAAACTTAACTCCTTTTTGAGTCAAATGTGTCATTCGTTTGGCCAATTTTGAGAAGTCTTAAATGAATCTTCGATAATAACCGGCCAATCCTAAGAAGCTATGAATCTCGAATGTGTTCTCAAGTTACTTCCATTCTGTCATTGCTTTACTTTAGTTGGGTCCACTGATATTTCCTTTTCAGACACCACATAACCCAAAAATTTTAATTCCTCCATTCAGAACTCACATTTACTAGCCTTGGCATACAGTTAGTTCTCTCTCAAGGTTTGAAGTACTATTCTCAAGTGTTGTTCATGGTCTCCTTCAGACTTGGAATATTTCAAAATATCATCAATGAAAATTACCACAAATTGATCTAAATAAGGCGTGAATATTTTGTTTATTAAGCTCATGAACACGCTTGGTGCATCGGTTAGGCCGAATGGCATCATTACGAACTCATAGTGGCCATAATGGGTTCAAAACGCAGTCTTAGGAATATCATCTTCCCGAATATGCAACTGGTGATACCCAGACCTGAGGTCTATCTTTGAGAAATACTTTGCCCCTCTAAGATGGTCGAAGAGGTCATCAATCCTAGGTAGTGGATACTGATTCTTAATGGTGAATCTATTGAGTTGTTGGTAATCAATGCACAACCTAAGTGTCCCATCTTTCTTTTTAGCAAATAAGGCTAGTGCTTCCCACAGGGACATGTTTGGCCTTATAAATTCCTTGTCCAATAATTCTTGTAATTGTGTCTTTAGCTCTCTCAATTCAACTAGTGTCATACGATGTGGTGCCATTAAGATCGGTGATGTACCAGGTTTTAGTTCAATGGTAAAGTCTACTTCTTGCTTTGGGGGTAGTCCTGGTAGTTCCTCTAGAAATGCATCAGCATACTCACACACCACACGAGGTAGCCCTAGTTCTATACGATCTTTATCATCCAGAACTAAGGTGGCTAGCTATCTAGCCAGGTGATCGTGCCACTTTGACTTTTGAAGTGTCAGTGATAGGGAATCTTATTTATCCCCCTTAAATTGGAATTGCGTTCTGTCATGAAAGTAGGTATTCACCGTCTTTCGATAGCAATCAATGGTGGCTCTATGGGTTGATAACAAGTCCATTCTTAAGATAACATCAAAATTTGACATTTCCATGACTTCTAGGTCGTAAGTTAAACGTAAATTGGAGACTCCTAGCTCACACGATTTGCATACAAGATCTACTTGAGTTTGACCTCCTAGTGGTGAAACTACACTCATAGGTGTTCCTAAACGCTCTGGTTCTAATCCTAAAGTTGTGACACATGAAGCAGATATGAAAGAGTAAAAGAGTGTGATGCTCTAGAATCAAACAAGACTTGTACAAAAGAGTTCATAAGGATGAGTATACCTTGAATCACTGAAGGATTTCTAGTGTCTTCTTCTTCTTGGAGTGCAAAGACCTCCTGGTGGCACCTTGATTTGGCCTCCAAGGCCTCCCTGCATTGACATTTCCTAGTTGTTAAGTACTCAATTGTGCCATATTCCGATTAGCTAGTGGCTGACCTCTGCCGGATTAGGAATTTTGCACAACTCGTGTTCCCAGAGCTGGCGTGCAATTGTTTAATTGAGCGACTCCCCCTTGCTTGATGTAGTAGCCTGGCCTCTGAGGACAGTTGTTCTTAAAGTGCCCTTCTAGGCCATGTTCATAGCAATTTCTAACCCCTTCCCTATTACGTTGTTCAAGATTGTACACTTGTTGTTGTTGTGGCCCCGTAGCATAAGGTACCGAAAAAATCTAGAAATCTCCTAAATATTGACTTGTGATTATGTATCAATTTTAACGAGTAAATAGTAATCCCAATCAAACAATCAAAGACAAATCAACACAACGATTTAATATGGAAAAACCACAATTGGAGCGCCTCCAATTGTGATAAAAAACCACGGCCAAAAGCCACAAAACAATCTACTAAGAAGACATCAAGGAATTACACAAGTGTACTCTCAATTACTTAGCGAATCCACGCCCGCATCGAACTGACCCCTTTATGTCTCTTCCAGCCCCATCTTCACATCGAAATTGTCTTGCCAAACGTTGAATCCACAACGCCGATGTTGAATCACGATGATGAGCCACTGCAGAATCCACCAAAACTTCAGGCCCGAATTCCACGGAATCCACCGAAGAACAACACTCTCTTTTGTAGTGAACGAAATAAACAATCCTTTGATGTACACTTTTCAATCCAGATTTAAACTCAAACAACTATTAAAGAAACTAGCAAAGAAGCTCCAGATATAAATCCTAATATCCAAGAAGAAGATTTGGAAGCCGTTACCCTAAAAATGGATAAAACCACATATTTATAGAAAATTGATCCGCGATCTTCGCTCGAGCGCAAGAATGACCGCTCGAGCACAAGAATGGCCGCTCGAGCGGGAAAAAAAAACTCCCAGTACTTTTGTAGGTGAGTGAAACTTCTGAATGGATTGCATCTCCGCTCAAGCGCAGGAATGGCCGCTCGAGCGAAAAACCAATTTCGATTGCAATTTTACATTTTTCTTCAGGGGAACTGCCCCTCAACCCCGCTTGGGCGCTACCCCGGACCGGCCAAGGGGCGCTGCACCCTAGACCCCCGCGAGCTGACCAGGCAACTTGATTCCCAATAGAGTCAGCGAAGTGGCAAACATGAAAGAATTATCTTCTGAAACTTCTTTGTAAAGCACAATTTGAGTTGGATTCGCATCTAAAACTCATAACCTCACTGAAATAAAAGATCGAATAAAACTACAACTGAACGGAGTTTTGTCAAACGGGATTGCCAAGAATAAAAACCTTGCAGGGGTCCTATTGTTCCTTGAGGGTCCTCCACTTCTTTGCTGGTTGGCTCTGGACTGCTGACCTTAAGTTCTTGCAGTGTCCATCTTTTCTCTTTCTAAAGTAAGAGCCCTATCTACTAAGTTGGTAGTTGCACTACAACCCGCTTGTCTCAGATTCCCGAGTCGAGTCCCCACTCAAAGTGCCTTACTTTGTCTGTTTCATTTGCCACTATAACTATGGCATGGCAAGAAAGGGCTTTAAATCGATTGGCATACTGTGTCACAATCATGCCCTTTTGTTTCAGTTGTAGAAATTCTTGGATCATCTCTTGTCTTATTGAGTTTGGGAAGTACTTTTCCATAAAAAATTCCTCAAACTGTCTCCAAGATAGTTCTGTCACTTGATGACTTTCCTTGATCATTGTCCACTAGAAATCGGCCTCCCCGTCAAGGAGAAATGAGGCGAAAGACACTTGGTCCTGTAACAACCCGAAAATTTAAGTTATCCCTTAAATTTTATATTAGTAATATTTAATTATAAATGAGAAAAATCTTAAATTTTAATTAATACCACAATCAATCATAATAATAATAACAATAATAATAATAATGATAATAATAGTAAGATAAAATAATTAATTTTATGGTGGTATGTAATAAAGTATAATTTAACTTACATTAAGAGTTATTGTACAATTATTCTATTAACTAGGGTCAATGTAGAATTAAGCTAATAGTTATTGTAGATAAAGCTCAGATAAACTCAAAAGAAAAGAAAAATACAAAATGAGATCAATGGATAAGAGAGCCTTGGATAAGAATGCAATTAAGTGAATTAAATGGAGGGCCACGTGGTTACTTGGGCAACAAGTGAATTGAATCAAAAAGGGTGGGAAACACCTATAAAATGGTGCCTCAAATAAGAAATGAGAAGCAAGCAAATGAGAAGAAATACTAGAAGTAAAGAAGAAAGAGTGAGGTATTAATTTTAAGGTGAGCAATATTATACCTTGAGTCACCATAACATATTTTACGAATGTTTTGAGTTACCACGAATTATTTTATATAATTTATGCTTTATTGTTATATTAATGTTTCAATTACGTAGATTATTTTCTGAACCCTATTTGCTTAAAATGAAACCCATGGATATGTTTATTTAACTTTTAATAATTATTTGACTATGATTATATAAATACGTATTTTGGTAAATACCACCACGAGAGTCTCATGCCTTGGGAGACTTAAATAACCATTGGCTCTCTAATTAGTCACTTTGTGACCCTCTGTCTATCATAGATCCACTAACACTCTGATTTTTGGTATAGAGCAAAGTGTTGTACGGAGCTAATTGCTACACTATGGTGTGAGCCACCTCTAAAGTTCATACGAGTCACCTCTTGAGTCCATACATCTGTTATGCTCTATTCTGTACCGCGATTATGATTATTTTGTTTATATGATTTTTGTATTATATGTCAAATGATCTCTGTATTATATACTCTATATTTTAATATCAAGCTTGATTTAGCTAAAAATTATCCATGATGATTTTACGCCCTTATGCTTTTAGTATAATATTTCTCACTCTGCCATGTGCATATCGCTGTTTACCAATTTTTAGGAAACAATGCAATTCAAAAATAGCTTTTGGAGAGTCTTAGATGCGGGGCTGTGGAATAGACACACATAGCACTTCATATGTAAATATCGGCCTTTTGGTTAATG